AATATAAATATAATAGATATAATAAATAAATAAAATAAATATTTATTATATTATATCAGAGGTTTGGTTTCATTTCTGTATTATATTTTCAGAATGTTTCTGAAAATATGATGGGCTGAAAGAATGAGCCCATCAGAGATAACTCATTGGACAAGCAGCATAATAGCATGGATCTATCATGTTGGCTACTCTAGATTTTGTTAAACATTTCAATGTCATTTTTTGTGTTTGATTGGCACTACACATTTCTATAAAATCAAGGTACTCAATGTAAGTAGACATTCAAATGATGGATTTTTCATTTTTCCCATCAGAGTTACAATTTCACAATAAGAAAGTTGTAAATATTAGTATATTCAATTACTAGACACCTGACATTACAGTATTTTCATTTTTAAAATGAATGTCAATATGATTTATTATCTGAGTCTATTTCTGTTGAATCCAGTAAGAGAACACAGCTGTCTTTTATCTATATCCCATCATATTCTGCTTTTTTAAGGGATGGGTTTTTTAAAAAAAAAATAGATACTTCTCCAACTTACAAGGATCTCTATCCCTTTTATAAACAAAGTATCAACAACTCTCCCATTTACATCTAAAACAGAAAGATCTGAAGCTTGAACTTGCCCATCATTTTCTGAGAGAAGTTCCTTCTGACATAAATAGCAAGATTTCATTTTTAAATATTGAAAATAATCCTCTTTCCCTTGAACAAGGAACTATTTCCAAAACTTCTGAAAAAAATTATGTAATTCTAGAAATCCCCATGCTATTTTGGGGATAGCTGCAAGTCTAAGGGGAGGCAACTAGATAATAGATTCGGTTGTTTTATTATGCAAATCTTAGAGGATAGCTAGAAGCAGTATGCAATTTTGAATTGTCCTAAATGTAACTTGCATTCTTGGAGATAATGATAGATTTTATTCTGATAATTGTTTCAACCCTTGTCAACACAATTTCAAGAACAGGAAGTTTATTACATAACCAGGGCCAATTTGTGGAATTCAGCACTTTAATGCAACTGTTTGGAGGGACCTCTATAAACAGAGTAAGAGTAAGAATAGAATAGAATAGAATAGAATAGAATAGAATAGAATAGAATAGAATAGAATAGAATAGAATAGAATAGAATAGAATATTCTTTATTGGCCAAGTGTGGTTGGACACACAAGGAATTTGTCTCTGGTGCATAAGTTCTCAATGTACATACAACATTGTGATAAATCATAAGATACCAATAGGAGAAGATAATAGGAAAGATGAGAAAGGTAATAGTAATATAGCCCTAATAAATGAGTAAATATTCTTAGTCATTAGATAGTGCTATGGAAATTAGGTGTTTAGCAGAGTGATGGCATGGGGGAAAAAACTTGGTGTCTAGTTGTTTTGACATGCAATGTCCTATAACAAAGTTACCCACAAAATAAAATCATGTTTAAAGTTAGGGGAATAATCCTGTTAGTGTAAGCTGCCTATTAGATAATACACAACAGTGCTAATTTATGAATGGATCTGGACCTTCAAAAATCCATTCAGCCCAGTCTACCCAAAAATCCATTCAGCCCAGTTAGCATAAGTGGATTAGCTAATAGGTACACTGCCTGCTTAAAAATCCTATGAGATGCTTTAGTCAGCAGGCAGGTAGACCATTTGAAAATCTCATTGACTTTCAACTATTCAATAGCTAACGTGGAACTGTGATAGCTTGTAGGTGGATTTCACCACCAGAAAATTGTTTTTTCGTCTGAAACAAACACAAAGGACTCTGTTCTGGGCAGAGCAGTGGAAGCAAGCAATCGGTGGAAGGGAGAAATCTGGCAAGATAACATCCCTTAGTCCCCAGTTAGAAAGAATAGGATAAAAAAAATATCACAGCTACCCAGTGAACTACCAAGAATATTTTTGTTCGGGAAGGGAGAAGCCCAGAATTTACACATTAGAACACAAGTTCTGACTTATTACTACTGCAGAACATGAAAAAATCTTCATTTTTTTCCCTCATCCTCCAATTATAGCAATATTGACCACTACGTAAAAAATGCAATAAATTACAAATGTAACATAGCATTTGTTGGCATAGTTCCATCCATTCCAAGAATAATTTCTACATGGTAAGCTACAAGGTAAAATCAAATCACATAGGATACCATGTGAAAATGATTTGTTTATTTCTTTTCACAGAAGGGTTACCGAGATAGATAATCTCTGGAAGCTCCCCTATGTCCAGGCTTCTCAATTAATTTACAAATACAGATTTAATAGATCTAAATTTCAGTGCATGGACTTTCTTGGCAAGGTTTTGGTTTTCCACACTTTAGCTTAATTGGCACTATATTGTTGCTGGAGCTTTAATCTGTGATCTCCAATCCATTTAAGAAAGTGCTCTTACTTTTTATTGGAGTATTTTCAGTTGACTTCAGATCCTCTCCTATCACAAAGCTAACAGTTATAATAATGTCAACAGGGAAAGTAATTTCAATGTAAATGGAGTATTTGTTGGTTTAGATGACATCTTAAATTGGTTTCTGAGGAGAAACTGAATAGTAAATTAAACTTAAAGTAGGATTAAGATTAGCCCCAAAGGTCAAAATCGTTGGACTGGATACTATTTCCTCGTTAACCTATTATGTACATACATGCTTCCCGAGTCTTTTGACATAAATGTGTAACCGAAAGTACACATTAATAGCTATTATAACAATTGGAGAGAGAGACAAACACAATACAAGTATTCCCTAGGCAGAAAGAATAGCATTTATTAACAATTAACACAAATATAAAAATCACTATAACCCACAGATACCATTACTGTATGACATTATACGGACCAGTTACTTAATTGCTTGAATGTGGGTTAAGTCAGTAATAAAATGGATAATAAAATACTACTGCTAGCTAAAATAGCTTCCTTGTCTAATTAAAGATAAGGAGTGGAAGAAATAGTTCAAGAAATGCAGAGAACATTTATTTTCATTATTTGATCAAAATGCCTATTATCTAGTTTTCTCTCCTGTACATTACAAAAAAGTAATAGAAAGCTGCTGAAGAATAAATCAATGAGAAGGAAGGTTATGTTCAATCCTTCATGCAGATAATTTTTCATTTCCTTATTCTCTTCAATGGCTATTTCCATTTTTAAAGATGTGAGCAAACAAAATTGCTCGTTCTCAGTATGTTTCCTCTTAAAGTGGGGAAAAATACAGAGTCAGAAACTAAGATTTTCCAGATATAGGTAAACTACAACTGTCAGGATCTTCACCATCTGCCAAGTTAATCAAGGTTTTTTGTTTTTTTTTTAAAAAAGCTTTCACTGTACCTGTACCAAATTAGATTGGCTTTCCACAATCTTCTAGTCTTCAGATTGTTTAAAAATTGCAACTCCTCAAATTGCTGGTACAGTAGTACTTCCCAGTTTAGTGCCCTCCAGGTGTGTCAGAGTGCAATTCTTAAAAAATATAAGCAATCATGGCACAAATATTTATTGGAGATTCTGGGAGCTACAGTGCCAACTCTTTCAACAGCAGTAGGTTGCAGAAAATTGCATTAAATTCCTAGCTAAAGGATTAATGGAGGTTGAAAGGCCAGTGGCTTATAACTGCTTCCTTCATATCAAACTATTAGGCTGGCAGCAAAACGAATGAAGAGAAGTAAGCTTTGCTGAGAAACCATATCAGCTGTCACATGGCAGTAGTCATTATGTCAGGTTCATAGCAGAGAGACTGAAGGAGACAGGGCCACAATCAGCTGCAGCTTTATCACACTCCTATTTCCATCAACTATCACTTGTCACCAGCCATTTCATCAGGGAAGTAAAGTGAAACAGAACTATCATCAACTCAGTTAAGAAGTCATCTTAATCAGGTTTCAGCATCCATCTTCTACCACCTGGCCAGCAGAACAGAAGGACCATTCCTCTTTTTAAACCCTTTCCATCCCAGATGATTAACATAAGATTGTTGTATTAAGAATGAAAGCCTGAGTGTGCTCTTTGTTTTATTGTACCAATTATCACTCCTTTTATGTTGGGTCTTATGTTGGGTCCTTTAAGAGTTCAAGACTTGAGGAACAAAATTGGTCTTTGTAAACTAATAATAGAAAGGTTTGTCTAACCAGGACAAAAATCCTAGATGCAAATACATATCAGACACTGCCATTAATTGAACTGAATGAAAAGATCTTAGATCAATTCATGACTTAACATAAATAAAGGATATTTTTGGAACGTCAGAAGCTGTTAATGAACTATCGGGTCTTTTTAAAAATGGTTTGATAGTGATTAAGATGAAACTGGACAATTTTAAATTTCTACTGTAAGCAAAGCAATAATGAACATAATGAAGTGTAATCTGAAGTGTAAGTAAAGAAAAAAAAGTTTTACAATAGTTTATTAAAATCAGATCAACACTTTCCCCATTAATTCCAGCAACAAATAAATGTCCTTTGGTCCTTTGTGCAACACAGGATATTTATAAATTACCTATATTCATCCTATTTAAATTTGGTCTGCATGCATATGGTTACAATAACTATGCTGTTTATAAATTCTGGGAATCTCAACATAAGTGGAAGCAACTAAATTTTAAATTCAACCCTAATTTTTTTCTTGACTGAAATTCTAGCAAACACTTCTGTCTGTAATGTCATGCTTTATAGATCAATGAATTCAATAAAAGGAATTCTTTCATTCTATGTATATAGTATCTTCTCTATACAAAAGAAAGGAATAGAGAATTGTTGTGGAGAAAATAATGATTCCAGAATTAATCAATAATAGTATAATTAAGAGGTTATTTTTTTGTTTTGTGCATGGTCAGCTCTATAAATTTGTTCCTTTTTCATGTCTTCTGGGCCAGGAGTTCCTAAACTTTTTGACATGAAACTTCTTTTTACTATAACCTTAGTGTACACACTCCCCTAAAAATCAAATACCAAAATGAACAGAAATGAATAAGGAAAACAGTACAATGAAACTTTTGGAAAGTTGTAAAAGTTATAACCTTGTAAAAGGTTCTTCAGGCTTCCCTTAGACTGACGTCACCGCCTCAAAAATGGTACATCTCACAATCTGGGAAACCAAGCAATAGATTTTTAAGGGCATACACAAATAGTTTTTGAGATTCAGAAAGATTGCAACTGATTAGAAAGTCACGACTTTGCATTAATTATAGAACAATAATCTTGCATTTTATTCTCTTTCCCCCTCCAGATTATATAGATGAACGGGAGCGTGAAAGCAAATTGCTGCTTGAAATCAAAACAAAACCGAAAAAGCCTTCTCCTGCGAGTGATATTTTGGCTGCAGTTTCTCTACAAGCGGGATACTTTTTCCACTTTATTACAGACACAGAACCCTCTGCAGATGGACAGAACGTTCTTATGCAAGTCCACTCAAAAGGAAATCCCGTTCGTCCCCAAAGGAGTCATTCTGATAATGATATACCTCTGCAGCCAGGATAAATTCCCGATTGTTAAAACCTAGAATCCCGGATCGTGGCAGAATTAGAAGACGGCATACCGAGTGGTGGGGGAACTAAAACCGGGAAAGCGTAATTCAGCCAATCAAAGAAGCTTCTTGCGTATTTATATTCCAACCTTTTTATCGAATAGAAATCCCCAAAGTCTGAAGCTGCCGTGGCCATTTATGGCCATTTTTGATGGTGGAAAAGAACTTAAGACTCAAATCAAACTTAAGAACGGGAAGCCCTCACTAAATATGGAGAGAATGCAAAACTGAAGTCACGTGCTACGATTTGTCAATCCGGAGTTCTTGTAACCATAGAAATGCGAACTTTTGCAGTAACGTAAGCGAGCTCCGTGCTAAGAGCACATGCGCAATACTGTACTAGTTAATATACGGGGGACGACCATTGTTGCAGAAGCTGGCGAAGTAGCCCCGCCCCCGAGGTTTATTAACTAACTTCCCGGAGTTGGGAAAGGGGTGTGGTTATATCTTTTCCTTGTCTTCGCTGAGCAAGGGGATCCCGTGCGACCACCTGGTCATGATGCAGGGCTTTCCCGCCATCCCCGAGGAGATCAGTAACTTCCTTGCAGGTGAATGTGCCCTGCGCGGCTGGGAGGGAACCTTTGCAAGCGTGGGAGACTAGGGAGCGCTTTACTAGAGGCGGAGTGATACGGCTACAGGAGAGTAAGGAAAGAAAAGGGAAGGCAGAAGAAATAGAGAAGTGACTTCTGGGCTGGAGTGATTGCTTTTTGGAAAGGAAGCCGAAGAATTTTGAGAATTTTGTTTTCCAATTGTAATAATAAAGAAAAGGGGGATTTCGTAAGAAGGTCATCAAGAAACTTACCATGGAGGAGCAGCTGGGTGGGCATAGTGGGTTGATGCTTAGCTGTTCGTTTTTTAAATATTTGGACAAGAAATGGCCAAATACTTCTCTGACTTGGACTAGGGAAAGCTTGATATCAGTATTCATCAGAAAATCTGTTTTTGTACTCTTGCTGTCTTATTTTTGGGATATATTCTTAAGGTCAGTTTGGTGTATAGGGCCAGTGAATAAGGTATAGAGATAGGAATTAGGAGACGGAGTTCTAGTTCCACTTTAAGCATAAAAATACCTGAATGAGTTGTGGGGTTGTTGTGGGAAAAGCAGAAAGGGAAAGGAGTATTATGTTTGTTCCATGCCTTGATTTACTTATAAGGTAATGAAAGCAGAATAAAAAATAATAAAAGTTTTAATTTGAAAAATAAATGTGCATTTATTAAATGCTGATGCTATAAGTGTAAAGAGTTTTGCAAAGAACTTAAAGTGGTATTGTAGAAGCATCTCAATGCATGGATAAGTCTAACTGGATTCCTGATTTTTTTTTTTCTTGGACCAATGTCCAAAATGCAGAATTGGGGCTTTGTTTCAACTAAAAAAAAAAAAGCCTTTGACGTTTCCATATTTCCTTATATTTTCATAATCTTAAAATAGGTTGCTCTGTGTTGTATTTCCTGTGTTGCACATTATACCAGAAAGAAAGCCACCTAGTTTTTAAAAATATATTTCCTTTTGTCAATTATATGCTTTCGAATGAAATAAAATCCCCTTTCTATTGGTGACTGCTTTATATTTATGCTAGCACTAAATTTCTATTATAGGTTTGATTGAAATTCTGTACCCATGTATAATGAAATGCATTTTTCTAAAGTCAGCAGGCTCTTCCTCTAAGTGGACTTGTGTAATATTACTCAGTAAATAACTTGATTTGCCCCCACCAATATCCATTTCACTGAAGTTTTATTCAAACATACCTATAAACACTTTGTTTAAATATTAAATTTACTGCATAAATTGTCTTAATCAAGAACCAACTACATTAAATATATGAAATAACTACTGAATAGATTGGATTAGTATGAGTTCATAGAAAGAATACTGTATTCAAACAAGAATTCTCAGACTTGTAGTTCTTTTAAAAAACATAAAAAAATTATTAGATGCCACATAAGTCTTGATCAATTACATTTTAGTCAACAGTTTGGCCTTGGAGTACAAAATGAAGCAGGGCACAGGCTGATAGAATTTTGTCAAGAGAATACGATGGTCATAACAAGCACTCTTTTCCAACAACCCAAGAGACGGCTCTAAACATGGACATCACCAGATGGTCAACATAGAAATCAGATTGACTATGTGCTCTGCAGCCAAAGATGGAGAAGCTCTATACAGTCAGTAAAAACAAGACCAGGAGCTGACTGTGGCTCAGATCATGAGCTTCTCGTTGCAAAATTTAGGCTTAAATTGAAAAAAGTAGGGAAAAGCACTAGGCCACTCAGGTATGAACTAAATCATATTCCTGAATATACAGTAGAGGTAACAAATAGATTTAAGGAATTAGATCTGATAGACAGAGTGCCTGAAGAACTATGGATTGAAGTTCGCAACATTGTACAAGAGGTAGCAACTAAAACCATCCCAAAGAAAAAGAAATGCAAGGAAGCTTTGCAAATAGCTGAGGAAAGAAGAGAAGCGAAAGGCAAAGAAGAAAGAGAAAGATACACCCAATTGAATGCAGAATTCCAGAGAATAGCTAGAATAGATAAGAATGCCTTCTTAAATGAACAGTGCAAAGAAATAGAAGAAAACAACAGAATAGGGAGGACCAGAGATCTCTTCAAGAAAATTGGAGATATGAAGGGAATGTTTCATGCAAAGATGGGCATGATAAAGGACCAAAATGGCAGGGACCTAACAGAGGCAGAAGAGATTAAGAAGAGATGGCAAAAGAACTATACAAGAATGAGCTTAACATCCCAGATAACCAGAATGAGATGGTCATTGCCCTCAAACCAGACATCCTAGAATGTGAAGTGAAATGGGCCTTAGAAAATCTGAGCAACAACAAAGCTAGTGGAGGTGATAGTATTCCAGCTGAGCTATTAAAAATCTTAAAAGACGATGCAGTAAAAGTGCTACACTCAATTTGCCAGCAAATTTGGAAAACTCAACAGTGGCCACAGGATTGGAAAAGGTCAGTTTACATTCCAATTCCAAAGAAAGGCAATGCCAAAGAATGTTCAAACTATCGCACCATTGCACTCATTTCACACGCTAGTAAAGTTATGCTTAAAATCCTACAAGCTAGACTCCAGCAGTATGTGTATCGAAAACTACCAGAAGTACAGGCAGGATTTCGAAGAGGCAGAGGAACTAGAGATCAAATTGCCAACATACGCTGGATCATGGAGAAAGCTAGGGAGTTCCAGAACAACATCTACTTCTGCTTCATTGACTATGCTAAAGCCTTTGATTGTGTGGATCACAACAAATTGTGGCAAGTTCTTAAAGAGATGGGAATACCAGACCATCTCATTTGTCTCTTGAGAAACCTATATGCGGGTCAAGAAGCAACAGTGAGAACTGGACACAGAACCACTGATTGGTTCAAAATTGGAAAAGGAGTCCGGCAAGGCTGTATACTGTCGCCCTGCCTATTTAACTTATATGCAGAGCACATCATGAGAAAGGCAGGGCTAGATGAATCAAAAGTTGGAATTAAGATTGCCGGGAGAAATATCAACAACCTAAGATATGCAGATGATACCACTCTAATGGCAGAAAGTGAAGAGGAACTAAAGAGCCTCTTGATGCGGGTGAAGAAGGAGAGTGCAAAAGTTGGCTTGAAACTCAACATTAAGAAAACCAAAATCATGGCATCCGGCCCTCTCAATCCTGGCAAATAGATGGGGAAGAAATGGAGGTAGTGACAGATTTTATTTTTCTGGGCTCCAAGATCACCTCAGATGGGGACTGCAGCCAAGAAATTAAAAGACGCTTGCTCCTGGGGAGGAAAGCTATGGCAAATCTAGACAGCATACTAAAAAGCAGAGATATCACCCTGCCAACAAAAGTGCGTATAGTCCAGGCCATGGTTTTCCCAGTTGCAATGTATGGCTGTGAAAGTTGGACCATAGGAAAGGCTGAGCGCCAAAGAATTGAGGCCTTTGAACTATGGTGCTGGAGAAGACTCCTGCGAGTCCCTTGGACTGCAAGGCATTCAAACCGGTCAGTCCTAGAAGAGATCAACCCCGACTGCTCTTTAGAAGGCCAGATCCTGAAGTTGAAACTCAAATACTTTGGCCACTTAATGAGAAGGAAGGACTCACTGGAGAAGGGCCTAATGCTGGGAAAGATTGAGGGCAATAGAAGAACGGGACGACAGAGAATGAGATAGCTGGATGGAGTCACTGAAGCAGTAGGTGTGAACTTAAATGGACTCCAGAAAATGGTAGAGGACAGGAAGACCTGGAGGAACGTTGTCTATGGGGTCGCGATAGGTCGGACACGACTTCACAATTAACAACAACAACAACATAGGTTGAAAGATTGCTTGAGTATACTTTTGAAAAGTATTTATAGCTCTGGCAAGATGTGATTATGTCAGCTTTTCAAGAATTTCTTCCTGGGTGCCAATAGAAATAGATCTTCATACCACATAAACATTAGGGTTGCAAATGCTTCAAAAATTATCTTGAATAAGTGTTTTTAGATCTCAGGCAAACACTACAGCTAGCCATGAAGTGAGACTGAATCTATTAAGGCTTCTGACCAAGCCTGAAACAAATGCTGCTGTTTCTTAACAGTAAGTCTTAAAGCAGTGGCCCCTTCTTTCAACATGAAGTGAAAACATTGGGCTGTTGTAATGAATAGCAGAAGAGTGTTATGTTTATGTGGGATCTGAGGCACTTATTATTAATCATTTTTGAAGTGTGCAGTAATGCAAATCCTTCAAGTTCAGCTTCCCCCCACTACATGCAAATGTCTGTATTTTTTTCCCAGCAACCAGAAGGAACTGCCCTTTTTCAGAATATTTTTGATTTCCTAAGACTAATTTACAGTCTTAGAGGCCTCCTATCCAAGAACTAACCGGGCCTTACTCTGCTTAGCTTTTTGAGACTAACGGAGGTAACCTAGGAACTGCTCTATATTGTGATTGGGACTTGTTTAGCCCTTGAATGAATTAAAATTTGCTAAAGTCATACAGCAAGCTATCCTATTATTCATTGGCTACAAGCTAATTTTTAGTTTTGCACAAAAAATCCAAAATAACCACATTATGTTTTACTTTGATATGCTAACCCACCTGTATCAGAAGACAGCTTGCTTGTTTTGAGACTATATGGTTTCAGTCTATTTGCCAGGAAATAAGTTTAATTTTGAAAATGTATATCTACATATATTATACATACACATATTCAAAATTAAACTTCAAAATTAAAATTACAGTGTATGATGGGTCTTAGCTTTTTTTTTTATTAACTGCCCAGCCTTTTTTCTGACTAGAGTGTTCCATTTTCTGACTTCACACTAAGAGAGTCTAAGTCTATGATTCTCAGTCTTGGCAACTTTAAGATATGTGACCTCAACTCCCAGAAATCTCCAGCCAGCATGGACTTTAACTAAAGCACAAATGGAGCATAGTATTGAAATTTTGACCAACTCGTCTGACTTTTCGGTGTATTGCTATTAACTTATTGTCATGAGGTTTAAAGAAAAATGAATGAATTACTTTTCCCTTGATAAATCAAAAGTTAAAAACAAGCTAAAGAGTTCTCATGATAAATGACTGAAAGTACTTATGTTGGAGGACTAATTTTTATTAGTCCTAATATTTCCTAACAGTGGACCAATTAGATAATTGTTTTCTCCAGATCTCCCTCCATTCTTCCCCTCATCAGTATTGTGCTGGATATGTAACTACAGAAACTGAATGATAATTAGAAACTTGAACAGAAAAAAGTTACAAAGGGAAGAATGAATGAAATCTTAACTAAAGTCATGTAGGCCTCTTACATAATGACAGTATCTGTTAATGCCAAAGCTGGATCTTAAGTTTTTTAGATTTTGGATCTTGTGCAAGCACAATTCTGCCATGTATGTGAAAAAGTTGCCACTGCTTTAATTAAGTGAATAATCAGAGTAGCATATCTTTAATGCAACTCTAAAGGCAGTGGCATCTTTTTGCACGGTCAGGCATGGTCAGGCTTCCTGAGAAATGATTTGCATGCTTTAATGAGGAACAGAGAAATTCTATACTCTGAACTCTGAAGCTCTTCTTTTGAATTATTTGTGTGTGTGTAGGTTTGTAGAGATTTGTGCAGATATGTAAGGGTACATAAATTATGTACCTATTTCATGAACATATGATGTTCACAAATATTCATTGAAATGCAATAATAGAAGCTTACAGTAAGCACTCACAGTAAGCACTCTACTCTCTTCCATTGAACTCATTCTTGCCTCTTAATTTAGGAGTTACAACTTAATTTAACTTTTATGATTGTGAGTCATGAATATGGATTATCTATTTGAGCACATGAAACCGTTTTAGCTGCCAAAATGAAAAAAAACAGCAGTCACTCTCCTTTATTTCTCTTGACTATGGTCCATTAATGCAATCTATACAGGGTGGAGTTTTATATTTTCTACATTTAACTCTCAGACATAAAGATCACATTTTTATAGTGTTTTGTTTTCAGTCTGAATATTGCTGAAATGACTATTCATTACAGAAGAGTTCTGGATAATTGAAAAAGACATAATCATTGTGTCGATATAATTTAAGCTGATTATCTTTGCAATTACTATCTCTTAAAGCAGGGGTCTCCAACCCCCAGTCTGTGGATTGGCACTGGGCTGCGGCATGCCAGAAATCGGATGGCGCAAACAAAGGAAGCCCATCACAGAATGCAGGCAGCATGTGAAACCACGCCCCCTCTGGTCCACAGAAAAAACTATCACTACAGAATCAGTCCCTGATTCCCAAAGTTTGGGGGCCACTGTCTTAAAGAGTACTGAAATGAAAAGAGATACATTGAAGTTAAAGAAGAGAACATTTTTAAAATAACCTGTAGCATTACAAGAAGAGTCTTTGTCTTTTCTATGAGGTTATAGTGTCCCATATAAGGAATAAAAAATGGGGTATGCTATTTTTATACACGTGCTGCCCCATTGATTTCTTTTAAAAGTAATATTGAGTCTAGCTGTCTTGTGATTGTGTTTGCTTTTCTTCAATTATTCAAAGACAATTTTGAATGAAAATGGTATTTTTTTTGCTTAAAATATAACATGACTCAACATTTAAGAAAAAGGTACTCAGTTTTTCTCAATACAATGTCTTCCTTCCTTCCTTCCTTCCTTCCTTCCTTCCTTCCTTCCTTCCTTCCTTCCTTCCTTCCTTCCTTCCTCCCTCCCTCCCTCCCTCCCTCCCTCCTTCTGGAGTGGCTATAAGATAGACCAGGAACATTGAGAGTCAATTTCTGCTGATAAAATAGAAGAATGACAGTGTGGGCTCCAAGCTAATAACAAACTTAGGTTATGCCAAATTTGTCAGCCAAATAACACAATTACGCAGAGTTTATTCCTAGTTAGTTATTTGGTTCTCTGCTTTGAGATGAAAGTTATATAAAGAGGTAATTGTTATTTTAGAACCTTTTATTTAAATTTGGAAATTAATCTTTTAGGTTGCCTATGTATCAGAGCTCCCATTTACCAATATTTTGTTAATTTATTTATAGACCAATATCTTATGATTATGCATTGCAGATTTTTCTGTCCTTTTATGTAAAACCTAATATGAGCTGTTTCTACTCATCTTCCATTGGGCTGCGACAATCACTATTCATGAAACATTTTGAAATACAAGTGTTCTGTGTTAACTCAGATTAGGCATTAGCCCAACCATGCAGTGAATGTGGTTATGTATAACAACCAGCCTGTCTAATTTCAGCCTGCCATTAACTGAATAATTGCCTCATTATGGCCAGAAAATCTATTCTTCAGTTAATTGAACAACTAGATTGCATAGCTAGTTCTGATGCGAATTGAACTTGTTATATAAGAAAAGCAGTTCTGGGTGAGACCAAAAGGATAATCCAGCAAACTATTTGTAACATGATTAGGCTTATATTTTTAGAGACTAAGTAGGACAACCCCTGCATCACTTGTCCTTCAAAACCTGGTGTTCATAATAAACATAAAACAATTTACTGTCTACGGGCATCTGTTACTGCTACTAAACTGAACTATATTTTGCATAGCAAAACAAACATGCACACATGAACATTTGAACTAACATCAAAGTCATAATATGGTTTCTTTGGTTTAGACTAGAGATCCCCAACCTTTTGAGCACTAGGGACCGATTCTGTGGAAAGAGGTTTTTCTGCGGACTGGAGGGGACATGGTTTCATGTACTGCCTGCATCCCGTGGATGGGGCTTTGTTTGTTTGTGTGGGCCAGTTTGTGGTATGCCGTGGCCCATTGCCAGTCCACGGACCAGGGGTTAGGGACCCTGATTTAGAGTGTTGATAAATCATTGGGTCAGAATGATGTGTGAATGACCAACTGTGTGTATTTAACTGTAGTTAACCATAGTCATGGTTTAATGCAATATCTATAGCCAGCTGATGGCTTCTCCAGGGTACATTCTCTTAAACAGTACATCCAGATTAAATTAATGTGTATCAAGGTAAAGTTATGCATCAGAAGACACTAAAAAAATAAAAATGGAAATGGTGTTTTACTTGTGTATATGGGTTTACAGTATTGCCACATTTAGTGATAGTTTTACACTGAAACTTACTAGTTCTCTTTGTTTTATCATAGATATTATGTTGTTTTAGTATTCATATTAGCAGTTCTTCTGTGCACAAGGTGATTCTGTTGGTAGCTTTGAGATTTACTACCATTTCACTTTCCAGATTTTATACACAGGATTTCAGGATAGATCAACTTTAACATAGACAAAGAAATCATAAGCTGGCAATCAGTTTTAAAAATGTTACTTTGTTAATAAAAGTGCCAAATGAAGTTTGATTCTGTGACAGTCACATAAGAGTTGAAGCAGTTTATTATCTTCTAGACTTTATTCTTTGAGTAATGGGTGGGGTGCATATATTTTATATGTTTTGACAGTTTATAAAAACTGGTTAGGCTTTTGTTCATTGAATGATAGCAAATGTCAAAACAGCATTTGCTGTGCTAAGCATAAGCAGAGCAGTGAACAAATCTATTCAATTTACAGTTTGAAATATCTTTCAATTATTTTATGCCTGGAACTGATAAAGTAACTCCATTAAATAGTTTGGCTGTTATTGCTTTATAAAAAAAACTAAAATAGAGGTATTAATCATCTGAAAATTAGTATTTCTTTTTTGACTCATCTCTTTCTATTTATTCTTTCATGATTTAGATGTTGACACATTCATATCAGATATCCTAAAAGGTGAAAATTTATCCAAAAAAGCAAGGGAAAAGAAAGATGTTTTGGTTAAGAAGATGAAAGACATCAGGTCCAAGTAAGTAATTATGCTTGTATAAAGTACATTTAATATAGAAAGTATATCAGTTTGCAACCAATCTGTGGAATAGGCTATCCTTATTATTTCTCCTTTATTAATAAGAAAACTTTGAATGAATTAAGGCTCCAGTATAAATTAAATCCTTATTATTTATTCAGGTTTATATACCATCATATTCTCATTTCATATTCCAAACAAAGGAGACATGGGAAATTCAAGCTCCTATTATAGCCTGCTCTTCTCTAATAGGCAGCAGGAGAAATATACCTGCAGGTAGTCCTCACTTAATGTCCATTGTTCAGCAACCTTTCAAAGCTATGATGGCGCTGAATGAAGGGACTTAAAATCAGTCTTTGAAGTTCTGATAATTGCAGTGGTCACGTGAACAAAAGTCAGGTGTTTGGCAACCATCTTGCACTTAAGATCAGTTACTGTGTCCTGCAGTCATGTCACAATTTACCATTTGTGATCTTCCCTGCCAGCTTCCCACAAGCAAAGTCAATAAGGAAGCTGGCACGGAAAATGATAAGTCTCTTGGGTAAGTCTCTCCCCCCAAATTTTCTTTGCTTTTACCCCTTCACGTGCACCCAACTTCCTTCCCCCTTTGTATCCATCAGATCGTCTTCCTCCCTTTCACTCAGTACCCTCCTTCCCCCTTTGCTTGAATGCACTCTGCCTTCCTTCCCCCTTTGATTGCACTTCATCCTCCTTTTACTTACACACAGCGTGCCTTCTTTCCCCATCACTTGCATGCACCATATCCTCCTTTTCCCTGGCGTTCCTGCATTTATGCCATTCTTCAGCAGCCCCGTCTCCTAACATAAATGCAACCTGTACTTGGCCTTTTCAGGCTTCCCCCATCCCTGCTTAACACCCCTACACTCCTTACCTGGAATTCCCACTGCTTCCCACTTAACAATCTGCATACCTTGGCATTATGGTAGCCGTGACTACCTGGATTGCTGTCACTAAGTGATGAAGTCATATGATATTGTGCTTTCTGACTATATCACTTTGCAGTGGCCATCTTAGTCCTACACTGATGCACTACCGACAACTGGTTAATGGAGATGGGCAGATGTGTGGCAAAAGCATTCAGCAAACGTATGTTAGAGGTCTTTTTTTTTTTCAAAGATAATTTTTATTAAATTTTTAAAATTTTACAAAAACAAAACAATCTTCCCCCCAACCTCCCCAACCCTCCCATTCCCTCCCCCGACCTTCCCAGAGCTGAATATAGGCTTAATTAAAATTTCATCAAAAAATCTTAAAAAAAGATATAAACCATAAATAAATCTAAATACATTAGTTAGAAATCTAAATACATTAATTAGAAAAATTATGAAATAATTAACAATAGTATATATATATAAAAAACATGAATACAAAAAATAAATGTTTAGAAAGGAAAAGAATAAAAAAAGGGAAAAAAGAAGAACAAAAAAAACAAAAAAAACAAAATATTCAATTTTAAATATAAATTGTTAAAAAACTAAATAATATTTTTTTATATCCAACTTATGTTGTATAAAATCTGTCCATTTTTTCCATACCGCAACATACTTCTCTTGCGATTGATCCTTCAAGAAAGTCGAAATCTTTGCCATTTCCGCCAAATAAGAAACTTTAAGAAACCACTCTTGCAAAGTAGGCAAAGATTCCTTCTTCCAACATTGCCCTACTAACAACCTTGCGGCTGTAATTAAATTTAACATCAATATAATCTCCTTAGTATCACAATCAATAACCATACCTAACAAAAACAATTGTGGGATAAATTTTACCCTCCTTCTAAAAATTCTTTGAATATTCCACCATATCTTAATCCAAAAGGCTTTTATATTTTTACACGACCACCAGATATGATAATAAGTAGCATCCAAACATCCACATCTCCAACATTTGGGCTGTAAGTCAGGATACATACGAGACATTTTTGTGGATCAAGGTGCCATCTATAAAACATTTTATAAAAATTCTCCCTTAAATTCTGGGCTTGTGTAAATTTGACATTTCTCACCCAAATAGTTTCCCAAGTATCTAATAAAACTGGTTCCCCAAAATTTTGTGCCCATTTAACCATACATTCTTTAACTAATTCTGCTTCTGAATCCAATTTATTTATTTATTTATGAGACTTATATACCGCTTTAAGTGCAAGCACTCTCTAAGTGGTGTACACCAGTAAGCAATGTATATTTACATTGCCCTCAACAATCTGGGTCCTCATTTTACCTACCCCCGAAGGATGAAGGCTGAGTCAACCTTGAGCCGGTGAGATTTGAACCGCTGACCTGCTGAACACAGTCAGCTAAAGTGGCCTGCAGTACTGCACTCTAACTGCTGCGCCACCTCGGCTCCTACCAATTCTACTAACACCCCATAAATTCTCTTAATGTGAGTTCGTCTTTGATTTTTTACTTGTTTAAAAAAATTCTCATCTTCTCTAAGCAAACCCACATTACAATATACCTTCCATCTATCCACAATTTGTCTAGACTGAAACCATGAATATATAATATTTTCTTGTGCTAAATCTTCCAAAGATTTTAACTGCCAATTTTTACCATCCCATCTAAGTAATTGTGCATAAGAAACACTATCCATCTTAACTCCTCTCCTTATCCCCTCTATCGCATGCCATGGTATGGCCCATAATGGAATTTTAGAATCAGTTCTATAATATTTCCTCCAGACCCGAAGTAAAGAAATCCTTATAATATGAGATTTAAAAACCCTGTCAACCTTTTTATTAAAAATTAAATAGGCATGCCATCCAAAAAGTAAATCCCAACCCTCCAAGAGGAGTATTTCTACATTTGTTAAGTTAACCCAATCACTAATTAATGTTAAAACCACAGCATCATAATACAATTTCAAGTTCGGTACCTTGAGTCCACCTTTCTCACGAGTATCTTGTATAATTTTAAGTTTTACTCTTGGTTTTTTCCCTGCCCAGATAAATTTGTTGATACCTTTCTGCCATTCATTTAAATCAACCTCGTTCTTTAAAATAGGTATCATTTGAAATAAAAAAAGAAACTTTGACAGAACATTCATTTTAATCGCCGCAATTCTTCCCAGAAGAGATAATTGCAATTTCTCCCAATTTTTCAAATCTCTTTGTATTTTGACCCACAGCTTTTCATAATATTTTTTTATGATACAATTTTGCATTAGAGACAGATAGAGTAACCCCCAAATAATTTACCATATCAACAACCTCAAAATCTGTCAAATTAACCAAAGTCTGCTTATCCAGATTAGTCATATTTTAGGTAATATTTTAGTCTTATTATTGTTAATTTTAAAACCCGAAATCCGTCCATATTGATGTATCAATTGTAGTAACTCTACTACAGAATAAATAGGTTGTGATAAGGTAACCACTAAGTCATCTGCAAAGGCTCTTAATTTATATTCTTTTTTATTGACTTCTATTCCTTTTATTTGCTGTGATTCTCGAATTTTAATCAACAATATTTCCAAAGTTAGAACAAACAGTAGTGGTGACAATGGACATCCCTGTCTTGTCCCTTTTTCTATTGTAAAAACCTCTGACAAACCCCCATTGACTATAAGCTGTGCCGTTTGTTTCTGATAAATAACACCAAGAGCTTGTAAAATTTTTCCTCCAAAATTCATTTTCTCAATTAATCTTAACATAAATTGCCAATTCAATTGATCAAAAGCTTTTTCAGCATCTAAAAATATCAATCCTGCAGAAACTTGATTATTTTTATCTAAATATTCTAATAAATTAATGATTTGTCTAACATTATTCTTCATATACCTTCCAGTTATAAAGCCTGTTTGTTCTGTGTGTATGACATGATGCAAAACCCTCATAAGCCTATTGGCTAAAATTTTCGCAAAAATCTTATGATCTACATTTAAAAGAGATATAGGTCTATAATTCTTTGGTAAAGTAAGGTCTTGATCTTCTTTTGGAATTAAAGATATAAAGGCTCTACCCCATGACGGTGGAATCTCTGAGCCCTGTAATATATTATTAAAAAGTTCACTTAAAGCTTGAACCATCTCTTGTACCAAAGTTTTATATAATAAATAGATGTCAAGCCATCCGTACCCGGTGCTTTACCTAATTTTAATTCTTTGATCACCATCTCAATTTCCTCATTAGTAATCAAACCATTAATTTTTTGTTTCTGATCTTCTGTTAATTTAGGGAAGTTGGCTTCATTTAAATAATTATCTATATCTAAAACCTGTACTTTAGTACTCTTATATAATTTTTGGTAATAATCTAAAAAAGATTTCTTAATCAACTCCTTCTGATATACCAATTTACCATTATAATTTATTTTACCTATAATTCTCTGTCTCTGTTTCTTTCTCAATTGATATGCCAACCATCTCCCTGGTTTGTTAGCATTACAAAATGTATTTTGTTTCATATACAATAAATTAATTGCAGTTTGATCAGCCATCAACATATTAAATTGTGATTTAAGCAATTTTATAGATTCTTTAACCTTCTCATCTGTAGGGTTTAAAATCAAATTTTTTTCTTTTAGTTTAATCTCATTTTCCAATTCCTTACGTTTCTGAATCTGCTTCTGTCTGTGAGCATTATTCATTTGTATCAAAATCCCTCGCATAAAGGCTTTACCTGCATCCCATACCATAGACATTGAAGTTCCCTTATGCATATTTAAAATAAAATAATCCTTTAAATGCTCCTTTAATTTTTGGACATTCTTTTCTTGTCTAAATAAGTTTTCATTCATCCTCCACGATCTCCTCTCCTCTTTTTCATCAACCAACTCCATCCAGACTGGACTATGATCCGTCAATGTCCTGGGAAAATTTTTAACATTCTTTACCCTAAAATATAAATCAGTTGTGATAAAAAAAAAGTCAATTCTTGAAAAAGATTGGTGTCTATCTGAAAAGAAAGTGAAATCTCTCTCTTCCTGATTGCGTTCACGCCAATAATCTCTCAGCTCCCAGTCCTCTTTCAACTCAAAGAAAGC